AGGATGGATGGAAGCCCAATGCAATGATTACTGAGTAAACCTACCGGTGGACGGTTGGAAGCCCAATGCAATGATTACTGAGCTGGCCTACCAGAGGATGGATGGAAGCCCAATGCAATGATTACTGAGCCGGCCTACCAGAGGATGGATGGAAGCCCGATGCAATGATTACTGAGTAAACCTACCAGAGGACGGATGGAAGCCCGATGCAATGATTACTGAGTAAACCTACCAGAGGATGGATGGAAGCCCAATGCAATGATTATTGAGCAGGTCTACCAGAGGATGGATGGAAGCCCAATGCAATGATTACTGAGCAGGCCTACCAGAGGATGGATGGAAGGCCAATGCAATGATTACTGAGCAGGTCTACCAGAGGATGGATGGAAGGCCAATGCAATGATTACTGAGCAGGCCTACCAGAGGATGGATGGAAGCCCAATGCAATGATTACTGAGTAAACCTACCGGTGGACGGTTGGAAGCCCAATGCAATGATTACTGAGCCGGCCTACCAGAGGATGGATGGAAGCCCAATGCAATGATTACTGAGCCGGCCTACCAGAGGATGGATGGAAGCCTAATGCAATGATTACTGAGCAGGCCTACCAGAGGATGGATGGAAGGCCAACACTGACTACTGAGAAGGTCAATGAGGCTAGCTTTTAGAGAACAAGACAGGATCCATTCCCTCACCATGCAGATTTCAGTGGCAACCAAGTAGCTGAGTCGATTAAACCATTCCACGTAAGCTTCAAGGTTTCGTGTCTTTTTTGGCTCATCATAACAATTCTGAAGAAACCCAAGAAAAAGAACAGAAGTTATTATAACTAATTATAAGACAAAAGGAAAGGTTAAAATCAGAAAACCTGGAGGAAATCACATTTTGCCTCTACTTAGGGGTGTGCTGGTAAAAGTTTAACAACTAGATCTCTAGAGAAAAAAAAAAGCACGCATGACACTTTTTGGCTTTGATGTCCATTATTAAAATTTTCCCCCCCACTTCCTTATGTCTAGACCACCAACAAAACGATAAGCAGGTCTTGATTTGTAATGATTGCTGATTTCTCAGGCATGAATGCTTGTTATGAAAACAATTGACTCTACTTTTGCAAGGGCACGCCTTTGCCTCTGCCTCAGGGATCACATAAGATCCCCATCATAAGGGTTCCTAGAGGTCCTGATATATTTGCTCACTCTTATGTATTCATTCAGGTGCCCTGTCTCCCAGATCCCGGAATGAGTGACTTGGGACTGGACGGAGTCATTCTTTCACTGATGTCTTAAGCCTTTATACCTCGGATTTAAGGAGTTGGAGCCAACATGTTCTACCATGACCCTGATCTTCAGGGTGAGGGCAACAAAATGGCACCACCACAATGAGTGGGGCTGAAAGGACTAGAACCCTTTCTCCTAAAATTAAGCATCAAAATGGCAGCTTAGAGTCATGAGATATAAGTTCAAATCCCACCCAACATTTCGTGTCTATGTGGGTAATTGACTTAACTTTTCTCATTTATAAAATGACAATAAGACCTGTAGTATCATCCTTGCAGGTTTGGGTCACTCCCCTCTATCCCCAGTCCCCCCCATTTTGGAAGTCCGGTGAAGCCAATGGACTTCTCGGACTATGTTGTTAAATAAGTGACAGGAGTGCTCAATCTCAATTAGAGGTTAGTGAGCATGAAGACGTAACTGTTTTTCCCATTTGAAGTTCACAGAACTCCTCAAGAAACCTCATTCTTGGGACCCTTCTAATTCTGAATCTATGATCATATGAATCCAAAAAAATCAATAAACACTTGTTGAATCCTTAGTAAGCACCCAGCACAATGATAAATTTTTAAAAGTGCAAAAACAGTCCCTGCGGTGAGTCAAAGACTCACATTCTACTGGGGGAAATAAAGTGCAAATGGCAAATAAAATCAAGGATCTCTGCCCAACCCCTCCCCGGCTGTTAATGTTCTCACCCACCTTAAATTTACTTGTCTGTGTAGAGGTTGTTATATCTCCCTGAGGGCAGTGAGCATTTCATTTTTAATGTTTCCCCAGTAAATAACATAATGTTTAGCACACAGCAGGCACTCAATAAATGTTTGCAGAGTGTCCTTGGGTTCATCAGTTCATAGAGAACTCAAAGAAGCCTGAGAAGCCATCTAATCCAACCCTCTTATTTTACATAGAAAGAAACTAAAGGCTCCCAGATGTTAAATGGTTTTGCCCAAGGCCACAGAGGCAATGGGTGACAGAGGTGAGATCTGATCCAGGCTGTCTGCCCCCTAAACACATGTTCTTTCCACTGTCCCATGATACCTCTCACTGTCATCACTACGAGGTTCTCAATGTCCTCTTAGTCCATGGGATTCAATCAAAAGTGAAGCAGTTTCTTATATGCCCAGTGCCTTGCATGTGGGAAGCAATGAATACATGGGGTGTCCCAAAAGTCTTAGTGCAGTTTTAAGTTTTAATGGCTTAAAATTATTAAAGGGGATGGGGGTGGGGGTCCATACTTTAAGCTAGTAACTTTTAATAGATTAAACCTGCACCAAGACTTTTGGGACACCTTGTATAAAATGTTAATGAATTGTGCACATGGCAAGTTGGGTGGGTGTGAGGGAGGCACGGGAATGTGGAATTTGTGATCTCTAAGGTTGTAAAGAAAAGCCTTCACCAAACAATCATTGGAGACCACATGGCACTTAGCTCAAAAGCAAAATTCCAAAGCAGGTTAACTATTCTTTGTTTTTCCTCTGACAAGTCCCCTGTTAGTCTTTCATGGGAGAATCTGATCTTTAGCTCCAGTACTGAGGGGAATTGTAAGGACAGAAAGCAGCTGTTGTCCTTGCTGCCACAGGACGGGGATTTCTAGGAGAGTTCGGAATGTCTGCACCGTCCGAAGGGCAAAAATGCGTCCTGTAGATTTCCAGTGGGGTTACTTTTAGAGAGAGAGGTATTTGAAAACTTTATATGTCTGCTGGCTTCACCCTGATAATAAAGAAATTGTTTATCAGGGAGATCTCACTGCATCTTAGGGGAAGAAAAAAACCATTTCTAACAGCTTTTTGTCAGCCTGGTGAACATCCCTATGCTATCCTTGTAACTGGATCAAACGGTGATCTTCTGTTTTCTAACAATAGCTGCTAAAACCATGACATTCACCTCCATCAAAACCAAGCACCAAAATCTAAAGTTCTTATTACCAAAGTTTCCCAGAAAGGAGAAAGAGGGAAAAATAAACAAACAAACAAACAAACAAACAAACAAATAAATAAATAAATAAATGATGGGCTGAGACACTTGGGAGAAGCCCCGACTGCCACAAATTAAAAAACAAAACAAATCTTGTGCATTAAACTTGTTCACACAAAACCGAGGTGTGGAAGTTTCTAGAAATCCCAAGAATTCCCTCCCGATTCTATTTTATAGGGTTTGGTACAGTAGGCTTACAGATGTAACTTTAGCTTCTAAAAGAGTCATTGCAATGGCTTTTTACCTTGTCATTGTCCAAAGGGTCCTTCTGCAAAAATGCTTGGACAAATTCTTCTGGTCCAATATAATTGAGCCTCTCCTGAAAATTTTAAAAACAAAACAAACCACGGTGAACCAGCAATTTCCCCAACTATATAATTAAACAGGAGAGGCAATGTGTCCTAGTAGATAGAGAGCTGGCCTTGGAATCAGGACGACTTGGGGTGAAGTCCTGTCTCTGGCACATACGGAAGAGTCATCCTAGGCAAATCACTTAGGGCCACCCCACCCCCTGCACAATTTTCTAAGATCACAGGTTGCAGTGTGGGTGCAGATTTAGTTTAGTAGAGGGAATTTCCTTACTTGGAAGCTCCCTATACCAGTACCATATCTGGTCCAAAAATAAAAGCATTGACTCTTGGAAACTATACTGTTTTTCAAGTTGCCCTTAGAAAAAAGCTCTTCCCCTATTATTTTAACATCTTATTTTGAAGGAAGCAATTCTCTTCTCCAGTGAGTTCTTTGCCTTAGTCTGAAAGAGAAGCTTTCTAGGTCTGGAATGAAGCAGCCTGCATGGTGGGGATTAGATCAAAGGGTAGGAATAAAGAAGGAAATGGGATAACTTTGCAGTTCCTCGTGGATTAGATGTTGAAGTGAAATCCCAGAAGGACAGGTGTGCCTATTCTCAATTGAAAATATGAAGGTTAAATACAAAAGATTTTTTGGACTGGCTACCATTTTGGATTATCTACCTCTCAGATTCCCACCATTACTACAAATAATCGAAAGTTTGCTGGAAGGCATAATGATTTAGTAAAAAAAAATAATAATAACTTGTGGATATCCCATTAGACCGTGAGGCCCCCATTCCCCTCAGCACAGTCTGGCACCTAGAAGGCACTTAATAAAGCTTTTCGACTGACTGGATGTAAAGTCAAGTGAAAGCAGCAACCTTACCAGCTCTATGTGAGTCAACTGCTGTGCCAACGTATAAGGATCACTGCAGATGGTAATTATATCTCTTTGTATTGACTGAGGTTTGGACTTCAGAACCGTAAGCCTATCTGTGGATGTCGCATTAATTTTTGCCAGGACTTCCTCATACTGGCCGAGAGTAGCGAGCTTTCGGATCAGACCCTGTATCATTTGATGAACGGTCTTCCTGTATGTCTGCCACGATACAAAAGAGGAGAGAGCATTGTGGAGGGTTTCAGATATTTTTTAAACATCATATAAACTCAATGCTGAAGTTACAGTCTACATGGCGGTCCGCAACATCCATAGTAAAGGTTTGTTCTGATCATCAGAGCTTATTTGGTTCTGCTCTCTGGTGACCTTCACTCAAGCTGAAGGCCCCAGGAACGTGGCAGAAGGAACTTCTCCATCATCAGCCCTTGGCCCTGGGTCTACAATGAGACCTGCCAGAGAACTGTTCAATGGGGACTCCCTAGGCCATCCCAGATGTGGAGGACATAACACATGGAACAGGTAAATTGAGTTCATTCCTTAGTATGCTCTAGGCACAGCGCTTCTTAAACTGTGGGTCACAATTCCATATGGGGTTGTGGAAAAATCTGGCAACAGTAAAAGGTTTCTAAACATGCAACGACCAAAAATTAATTAAAAATCAAACCCTTAATGAATCCAAGGTGTTTCTGGCAGCGTGTGCCCAAAGTGTATCTCGCAACTTCACTGCGGTCTTGGTTCTGAACACAAAGCATGTGCACTTTGCACTGTGCATGCCCTCAGGCCACGCAACCCCAATAAATGCTGCTGAAAAGCAAAAAGGGGTCACAAGTGGAAAACTCTAGGTAACCAACAATGTCTGCTAGACCATCTCACCAAATGCTGCCATTTCCTTCTCGTCACTGTGACTATCTATAGTTTCCCATAACACTAGTCTAAGGTGACCGATGACATTTAGGACTAGTAACCAGGACGTGCTCATCTCCGTACTGAAACCAGATACTTTGCTCATCATAGCATCTCTGAAGGAGCCAAAAGAAGGCAAGACAAAGAGAAAATGAATTTTTTATATACTAGCCTGAGGTGCAGAAGACAATTTTCCTCTCAATACAGAAGTTAATTTGTTTTCACATTAAAGGAACCGATTTAATCTAACAATTTACATGTCTTTGTTCATTCAAAAAATGTTCACCGAGTGTTGCCTATGTAAATTATTTTTCTAATGTCTCTGAGGAGTCACTGCCCAGCCTTGCAATGCTACCATATTTAATTGAGAAAACTCCTCAATTTTCTGTCTCGAAAAAATGTTTGTTTTGAAGTTTCCCCACAGACAGGACCTTCTTGGGTCACAGATAGGCAGGGTGTGTACAAGGGCAATCTCACCTTCTTTCTTGGTGAAGGGTAATTGCTACCTTCTTTAAGAGATGATTGCATTCACCACCAGCCCTTTCAGCCCTTCTCTGGCTCCCCCTCCTGCCCCTGCCCATATGCAGAAATAGCTCCCTAGGACCACCAGATGGAATGGCAATTAGAATCTGAATAATCTGCCCACTGCAACTCCTCAGCAGGTCATCAGCTGAGTGTACCAGGGGACAGGCAATGGACTGCCCGAAGAAAAGAGCTGGATTCAATTAGAAATAACTCCTACTGCTTCCTTCACTTCTTATGAATGGTAAACACATCCTAAAGGGAACTCACAGTATCAGGTACAGGATCTTTCATCTGTATGGAAAGGTCATAGGGAGAGTCAAGTCAAGGGGGGTAAAATGAAGATCTAAGATGTAAAAGAATACCAATGTGCTGCTTAGAGAGAAGTAGAATTTAAATGAAGAGCATCGTGAAACACATGGAGAAAGTCATCAAAGGCCACTCAGAGAACAAAGAACCAGAAAGCACTTATATTTCCATTCCTGAATAATTACTGTTCCTACAGAGCCTAACTCACTGTTAAATGTTTTTCTATGTTCATTTTTTTTAAATTGTCAAACATTTACTTTCCTTTCTTCCAAGATATTAAATGTCAATGACAGTAATTAACTGGTAAATAACATAAAGATAACTCTTACCATCTAGAATTGTTTGTCACATAACTCCCAATATCAAGTTCAATTCACATTTTGGTTACGAGGTATCTCCTTGGGAACAAAATCCCCACTAAGCCCAATTATATAGACTTGTCCTAGTAAAATCTGTAGAGCTTGACTCTACTGGGGTAAACCTGGAGATGTCATCAAAATGCTCCCCATCACTGATGAGCAAGAAGTCCCACCTCAAAATCTAGGGAAAAATCAGACCACCTTCTAATGACTGATGCATAGAATGTTAGAGCTGAAAGAGGCTGTGAAACCATCTGGTCGCAGCTCTCATTGTATAATGAAGAAAAATGACGTCCGGAGAGCTAAAGGCACATCCCTAGGATCACATAGTTAGTGGCAAAGATAGTACAAGGACAAAGCCAGGCCATTGTTCTTGTTGACTCTAAGGTAACAGAGAAAGAAAATAATGAGACTATAAAATGATAATTTGCTGGAGGCAGGAATTATGGTGCTCTGCCCAATCCACCTTTGCCCCACATATGATTCAGCTCTAATCAATAGTAAATAAAAGCAGTAGAACAACTAGAAGAAGAACCAGCAAAAAATGCCGAACTCAATAACCCAGTCAGTGGTGGATAAACCCAGGAACATAAATTCCTCATGGTAAGAACTTCGGTAACATTTATATTGTGGTTTGAGGAAAAAAATAGTTTTAGACCAGTTTTTTATGCCACATGCCATAATGATTACCAGAGAGATACTTGAATCAGATATTCAAATTCATATAATTTTTAAAAATTGGGGGAAAACAAAAGGAGATATTGGCAAAGATGATAAAAAATGTATTTAGTCAATGTTAGAGGCACTGCAGGAAGTCAGACATACTCTGTCAGATGAGACCAACACGGTGGTTGGTTTTGGTAGTTTTTTTTTTCTTTTTCAATCTGTTACAAATTTCAGAAAATGAAATTCCTTTAATTCCTCAGCACCGTTGTCCTATGGCTGATCACACCCTATCCAACTCTGAATTACTCCCAATATTTATCAATTCCACTTTTATTTAAGTTCTGTTGAAGGGAGCTGTGCCTTTTACCTGTCTTTGTATCCCCAGCACTTAGGAACAGTGCCTGGCACATAATAAGCACTTAATAAATGTTCTTTATTGACTGACAACCTTTGAGAGGCCTACCAGGACTTCTTAAACTCTTTCCACTCATGACCCCTTTTCGCCTTCTGCAGTGTTTGTGATGTTGCGTGGCCTTAAGGCACGCACAGTGCAAATTGCACATGCTGTGTGTTCAGAACCAAGGCTGTAGTGAAGTCGCTCAATGCAACATAGGCAAGTGCTGCTAGAAACACCTCGCATTTGATTTTTAATTAATTTTTGGTTATTGCACGTTCAGATAACCTTTTACTGTTGCCAAATTTTTCACGACTCCATGTGGAATTGCGACCCATAGTTTAAGAAGAGCCGTCTAGGCTAATTTTTAAAACTGTAAGTTATACAGAAGATGTCAACTCGGTAATGGCAGAAAGAATTTCCTTACTAGGGAGTTCCCTATGTCAATGAAATCTCAGTTTCAGCCCCAATACTGTAAGCATTTTCCACTGGATATACAAGGCAGAACACTGACACACTTCAAGTCTTGGACAAAAGCAAAACAAGAAGTGAGGGTCAGAGGACAAACATTCTAGAACTGTAAAGTCTAGACCCAAGGGTGAGCTAGTAAATATTTAACATCCGGCTTGGGCGGAGGATGTATGCATGACACACTTTTAATTTGCATTGTTAATATTTTCTTCATCATTTTTTAAAAATCTAGGCAATCGAGAAAATAATAAATCAAGCCCTGATTTCTGAGGAGTAAACCCTCATACTGAAAATTTGGCTCCAACACACCCCTGTCTATACCTTATGACTCATCTAGTTCAACTAGTTCAGCATAATTTCCCACAGTCTGAATGTCTCTGTTCTAGCTGGGCTAAATGAACAGACTGAGGTCACCAACCTCCTCGCCACTGGCTATTCGATGGGTGAGGTCTTTCAAATTTCTCATCATTCTTTCATCTCGAAAATCATATGGAAATGTCTCAGTCCATTCAGTCAGGAGCTGAAGAATTTTGGGTGCGATTTTTCGAATCTGGCTCTAGAAAGAAAAAAGAAAAACCGTATCATTACTGGCTGCCACCAGAGAAGGCTCCCACAGAATAATCACATAAATAAAAATTCTGTTGACTGGGAATGTAGGTGAGAGGAAACTAAAATTAAATGCTGAGTCTACGTTTCCATGGTTCCCTTTGCCATATCACTGTCAAACGGATAATCAAACTAAGGCATACACCAGAAACAATCTAAGGCATTTTTTCCTTCTATGGTCTTTATACTATTCCCTATGATCTATGCAGGGTCATGATAAGGTCCAATGAGGTGTAATGAACACTGGACTTTGAGTCCAAGTACCTGCATCGTGTTTCAGATCTACCATTTACTAGCTGTATGAAACATTTCTGCATTACCCACCTCATGAGGTTGTTATAAAGAAAGTACTTTGTTAGTTACATAAAGTGCTATTTAAATAATTTTAATTTAATTAATTGGGGAATCTAGGTGGAACAGTGGATAGTGCTGGGCCTGAAGCCAGGAAGATCTGAGTTCAAATCCAGCTTCACACACTTCCTAGCTGTGAGACCCTGAGCAAGTCACCCACCCTCAGTTGGCCTCAGTTTCCTCATCTGTAAAATTGGGATAATAACAGCACCAACCTCCCAGGGCTGTTGTGAGGATCGAATGAGACAATATTTGCTTTTAACAGATCCTATACCACGTCTACTTGGCTCAAGAACTATTACCGCAAAGTTCAGAAGGGCCAAGTTATAAAATAACAGGACATGGCAACAAAATAGAGTAAATATTTCCGGACTGCATCCTCACCTTGTCCAGGCTGGGGTCACTTAACCTCTGGTGCTCAACGCACAAATGGCAAACCTTGGCCATTAGTTCAAATGGATGCAAGAACAAACGAGAGCTGAGTAGAAAGGTGAATATATATGTTCTCTGTGGGCAAGAGAAAAATGTAAATATAAATTAATATAAATCCTAGGTTCACGCTCCTGCCAAAATAGGTGCCTCCTTCCACATACTGAATTCATCATCAGCTCAGCATTAACTCTGTATATAATATTACATTGTATTGTAATGTAAATATATAATAGAAAATAATAGCAATAATATAACTTAAACATTGTAATATAATAGTATATATGTATGTATTTTTAACTATAGAGTCAAAGCTGGTATAAGAGGTACTGTGCAGGATGGAATTAAGTGTTCTATTACAGCTAAATTAGATCTCAACACACCCTAAGGCCTGTGTTTAAACACCGAATTTTCTTTTCCTAGATGTACTTAAGTGGTTCAGGCTATTGCCCTGATAGAATATATGCTCCCTGAGGACAGGAACAGTTTTGCTTTTGTCTTTGTAGCCCCACTACTTGGTACATAGTAGGTGATTAACAAATGCACGCTTGACTGATCCCTCATCATGTTCAAAAGGGAGGGGGGAGTTGAGATCCAGCTTGGCTCCAAAGGTTACCCAGAAGACATTTGTACCTGGCCTTGAAGATCGGTGAGAATGGGCAAGGTGATATCTTATCCATTTCCCCAAAGTCACCAAACTTGTCTCAAAGAAAAATCCAATCCAAGATGGACCAAGAGCTTTTTCTATAATCATATAACATGTTAATTCCTCATAAACTTAAGAGAAAACAACACACCCTCTGAACAGTACACTGACAGGAATGTTTGAGCCAGACCATTTGAAAGCAGAGCTTTCAAGTAATCCATTTGTTTGCTCAGGAACTGAGTTTGATTGAGTACAATATACCACTATACGCTTTGCTGTAAACTCTTGTCTCCTGAGAAGCCAGTAATTGAGGCAAGGACTATTTGTTACAGTCCTTTCAGAATTTCTCTGAACCAAGGAACCCCACAGAGTTTCATTTTTTCCCCAAGCAACTCATAAACAATTAAGGAATTGAACAAGAAATCCCTCTTACTTTTGATAATAAGTAACCATGTGGTATTATTTCTGAAAAGACCTTATAAGAAGTCATATACATACATAGCTTAGTAATAATCATTATGGGAAAAAAGGCTATTCTTTTCACTGAATCTTTTGTCAGGGATTATGACATTTTAAGAAGCAATGAAAATGACCAAGACGTGGGGTGGGTGGGTATTTTTATGAGGACTTCTCAACCCTGCCTCTCCTTGCCCAAACACTCACTCCCACAACATACAAAGACTTGCTCAGCAAGTCATCCCAGTTCTGAGGATGATTCTAAAAAATGAGAGGGCCTGAGAAAAAAGCTGTCCAATGGCCAAATATCAATACAACCCCGATGAGGTATGGCTTCAGCCTGAAACCTTTTAAATGCTAAAAGCCGCCATCTTTTCATATGGCCCATTCTACCCCGGTCTTCAAGCACATACATATCTATGACATTCCATACATGAGTGTTGTAATGCTAGGACTTCCTGAATGGAAATGATTAAATGGTAATAATCCAACAGTAATAATCCAATGATCAATAATCCAATGGTAATAATCTTATGATTAATAATCCGAAGGCAATAATCTTATGATTAAAGGGTAGTAATCCTATGGAGAGGCAGTAAGTGTAGAGGTGTGAAGAGAGAGAGACAATCTTGGAACTAGGAAGACTTGGATTCAAATCCCACCCATCTCTAACACACATTAGCAGTGTGACCCAGGGGCAAGCCTCTCTAAGATGCTTTGTCCATGGATAGGGCTTTCTCACTGGAAGTTCCCTATAACAACGACATCACAGGTCTAGGCCCAAAAGTCCTATGGGAGAGAATGTACAAGGACCAACCATGTATGTACTTGAGTCAGGAAGAGCTTATATTTGCTAGATAATAGGACTAGGGGTCTTTTATAGGCTCAAATTGGAAATACAGCGACATCTGTGAAAATTTTGCTGTGCTAGAAGAAATGAAGAAAAAGACAGCTTCAAAGTGACATGGAAAGACTTAGGTGAACTAATACAGGATGAAATGAGCAAAACCAGAACACTTTATATTATAACCTTAATATGATAAAAATCAACCATCTTGAAAGACTTAAGAATATTGATCAATCTTACATGATCAATCATGATTCCAGAGACTGATAAACAACAGTACCACCTCTTGACAGTGAGATGATAGGATTAATATGGAGAATAACACTGTATTTTTAGACGTGACCCATGGGGAAAATGTTTTGCTTTATTGTACTTTTGTGATTCAAGGGCTCTTCGTTTCTTTCTTGTGGGTAAGGGAAGGCGGGAGGGATGAAAGTGAATATTTTTGAATAATGAATAATTTTTAAAATGAAATAATACAATTTTAAAAAAATAAGTCAAATACATATATTACTGCCCAACTTAGCCTCAAGGTATTGAATTAGATTATCAGGAATGAATGTGGGTTCTCAATTGGCATATGTGTCATGGGGATACAAGTTCTACGACATCTGTGCCCCATCTTTGAGGGAGGGGTGGAAGAGGAAGGTGCATTTAGATACTCACATCAGGATAATAGTCTATACTGGGCACTAAGTGCTGGATAAGGGCTTCCAGGGATCCTGATAGCAAGTTGTTGTCATGGTAATACAATCCTTCACAGTTATCTTCTTTGGACTGATACAGGGGCCGGTTATATCCGTTGCTGTCAAACATCACGGCAAAGGGAGGAGTCTGAGGCATGTTTTCCTGAGGGAAAATAGACAACCATCAGTACCGTGCCATAAAGAGAAAACAACCCTTTGTATGGAATGAATAACAGGAGGGAGGGAGAAAGCATTTCCAAAGACGAGTTTCAAGTTTGTCAAGGAACTGGAACGAGGAAGGTAACACATTTTTCTCTAGTTTATTAAAAACAAACCATAAATACGCTTGGTAACTGGAACTCACTAAATCAAATACAAGAAAACACTTATTTAATCCAATGGGACAAATGCCAATTTAAATGTATATTCCCAGCCGTGAAGTTCAATTCTAAAAAAAAATCAATTAAAATGATTCTCTCAGTTTCTATTTGCTTGGGCAAATTAGTTGGTTAAAAAAAAAAGACTAAGTTGAGAAAATGAATTTGTCCATGCCTGCAGTGGGGCAGATGCTACATGTCTAGCAGTAAAAAGATTTAATGCCCCTGGTCTTCATTGGAAGACCAGATGCTGCTGATTTTTCCTCCTTTGTGTCAAATCCTATTGGGAAGAAACTCTCTTTAAAGCCACAGTCCTCAGTCAACACCAGTCTATGAAGGCATCTTATTTTAGGAACAAGTCGTAATGTGACATCTTTGAGATAAGTAGCTTCCCTCCATCTGTGTGCCTGGAAACTCACAAAGCACGTTTCAGAGTAAGCTCGGGGAGAATTAGGGCTATTAAGTTATTAGTTAGATTCCTAGGACATAATGCCCTGCCCAAAGAGAGCACAGACTCCCTACTCCTGGCAGCAGGCCTGGACAATGGAGACATTCAAAGCTGCACAAGACCAGGCGATTGAGTAGGTAAACAATGTCGGGAAAGCTGTCCTCCAGAGCTGAGCCAGGCAGGGCCCAGGAGGGGGGGGGGGGGGGAAAAGGGGGGGGGGGGGGGGTGCTGCTCCAGTGATAACACAACCTGTACTAATGCCTCCTTTCAAGATGCCAAAATATATTTGCATCAAAATGGAGAACAGTCAAGAGACTTTGTCTGAAAATTCACTCCTTGCATCTGTTCAAGCTGAGTTTGATTCCCTACAGAGAAGAAAATGGGGGCTGAGGGTGGTAAAGAGCATAGAGTGATGAGACCACGTGCCACAGGAGGGCAAGGCCAGGCAGCAAAGGGCTTCTTTTCTCTGTGGCCTACCCGGCAGATGAAAGCGTCCATTAGGATCAGGCCTCATGCTTTTCCTTTGACAAAAATAAAGCAAAAGCAAAAACAGACCCAAAATTCAGCTCTTTGTCCTTGCCGGCCATCCACTATCTAGGGTGAGGGAGGAACTCAACAGGAGATAATTGGCCACCGACAGGAGGCAAGCCACGGCTAAGAATTTCCCCACACGGAGGAGGCATGGTCTGGGTCATCATTGTTGGGACAGCTGGGGATGATTCTAACAGCTGAAGGATTTGAAACCACAAGGAATTCAAAGCACACAAATACCACCCTCAGCCCAAAGGTTCTTAACCTTTTTGTGTGATGGGGAACCCCCCCCCCCACCTTGGCACTCTGGAGAGGCCCATGGAGCTCTTCTCAAAATAATGTTTTTAAATGTATAAACTAAAGCAGAGAGGATGACAAAGGAAACCCAAGATTAGGGAAAATAAAGATGTAAATGTTTCCCAATTCAGGTTCATAGACTCTGAAATCTAACCTCAGATCCCGTGGATGGGCAGGATGGGTGGGTCTCGGGAACCTCACTTAAATGGACTATATAGGTACTCTCCACTACTGCCCACCTAAATAACTCTTTTCTGTTCAAATTACCAGGTGTATATAGGAGCCACGGTTACTTAGTATTGACCCATGGGATCTAACATTTCAGCATATTCTGTGCCTTCAAGGAAAGCCATTTCAGATGAATCAATCTAAAAGCATTTATTAAGTGCCTATTATAGCCCAGGCACTGTCCTAAGACAAAAATGATACAGTCCCAGCCTTTAACTTCTACTGGAGGAGAAAATAGGTGTATACATACACATACACACACACACACACACACACACCCCTTAAATATTCAGCCCCCCGAACACTCCCTCCTAAATCAGATTAAAATGGAATTGGGAAATATTTAATAAATATGTTTGATTTCAGAAATAAATATTTAATAAACAAAGAAAATATAATAGAATATATATAATGTTATTATGTGGTTTTCTAAGTCAATACGTAGCCCGAAGAGATCTTTATGTATGGTTTGGTAGATACTGTTTCTATTTGAGTTTGATATCAATGCCATATGTACTACATAAATGCTATTATTATTATATTATTATATAATAAATACATGCTCACAGATATTATAGTATGGTATAATATAATTATATATATGATCATGTATTATTAACAAATGATATTTGTTAATATTTTCAATTATTGTTATATTAAAAATATGTACAAGATAATTTCAGTGGAAATGCTAGCAGCTGGGGGGCTGGGGTGGATTGGGACAGGCCTCATGTACAAGGAGGTATTTGCCCTGAGCTTTGAAAGAAAGTACAGATTTTAGGAAGCAGAGGTGAGAAAGAGAACATCCTAACTATATTAGGTAGACTGAGCAAAGAATAAAAACTCTATGCACTAAATCAAGAGATTGAATCGTGTGATCCTTTCTGTCCTCTCTTTTAGGAATAATCTGGAAGAAATACTGCCCTTATCCTTTGAGAAACTCAAAGCCCTAGGCAACTGGCTCTATCCTTACACAGGGAGGGATAGCCAGAAGATTTAGGAAAGGTGACAAGAGATCTCAGTTTCTTCCTAACTGGTAGAGTCGCTGGTAGAATCTCCTCTTATCTACAGTTGACTTCTGATGGTTTTAAGCCTTAAGTGCTATTAATAATCAGCTGTCTAGAGAGGAGGACCACAGAACTGAAGGGATTTCGGTGGCCCTCTTGCCTAATCCATACACAAAGTGCTAAGTTGACCTATGTTCGAAGACTTGCAAGGAGGTCTATTGTCTCTTGGCCATCCTGGGCTTCACCACCATGACTCAGCTGCCTTCTCACCCTGGAATATCCCTCTACCATGCTGGCCCCCTTCTTCCATTGCTGAGTTCCTTCTGGGAGTGTTTCCTGTGTACACCATTCCTATGGTCCTGCTTTTTTTCCATCAGTCTTTTAGGGTTTTTGTATGACTGCTTGTTGGCCTTAACTGCATTACAGTATTCTATCACATTCATGTGCTACAGATTATTTCAAAATTCTTCTATTGTTGGTCACTTAGGTTGCTTCCAGTCCTTTTGTAGTTAGAGGGTATTCCCAAAGCCTTAGTGCAGTGTTAAGCACTAAGTGAATGACGCTATTAAAAATGTATGATAGAGAATTTTTCTATTTTCTTAAGAGGATTCCTTGACTTGCAGTGACCATCAAAGGCTGTTTTATTAACTTTGCCAACAGCAACATTCAGTCAGGTAAGCATTTGTTAAGTGCTTACTATGTGTCAGGCACTGTGCTAAGCAATCAGGACACAAAGAGGCAAAAACACAGTCCCTGCCCTCAAGTAGTCTACAGCCTGATGCGGGCAGACAACCTGTAAAGCAACATACTTACAGAATATAAACAGTGTGAATGGGAGCTAATAATAACAGCTAACATTTATATAGCATTTACGTCAGTAACTGTGCTAAGCACTTTACAACTATTTGATTCTCTTAACAATCCTGGGAAGTAGGTATTATTATTTTCCTCATTTCACAGATGAGGAAACTTAGGTAAACTGAGGCTAAGTGATTTGCCTAGAGTCACACAGCTAGTAAATATCTGTGGCTAGATTTGAACTCAAGGCACTACCCACTGAGCCACCTAGCTAATCTTGGACAGTGGACACCTTGATAAAGTCTTTTTCTTCCTGCCATGGATCCAGACTCACAAAACTTAGATGTATTATTTAAGAGCTTACACACCAGCCTGGCACTGGTTTACAAATAGATATTCTACTGCTTAAGGAATTTATATTTAAAGAATATATTAATGTTCAAAGAATCAAAAATAACACTTCTAGTAGGTATGACACCCTTATAGCCTACCCTAAAACTATAAAGGACAGCTTTCATTAGGAAAGGGATTACTGAAAGAATTTTTTAAAATCTACTTTTCCTTAAAGTTACAGGTTTAAAAGAAATACTTAGGTATAACACTGCTTTAACTTATAGTTCATATTAATTTCAGGGTATCAAAATAAATCAAGAACCAAAATTTTCTTTAGTAAAAAGCAAGCACATGAATACATTCATTAAAGGTCAATGAATTAAATGTTATTTGGATCACTAGCTCTATGGTAGGCATATTATTCTCCCGCCCCCTCCCCCTTTTTTATGGTGAGAGGAAAAGGACTTGTGATTTCACTGGTATAGGAACTTCCTCCAAGTTTTTATATTTTATATATTTTATATTTTAGCAGAACTGTTACGGTGATGACAAGAAGGCAAGGATAACTAGATGAGACCCTTTTATCCTATAACAATATATCCCTGTAGAGTTCTGGTCTGGTTTCTCCTGTGGTTGTGTGTGGCCTTGGAAAAATCTTGTATGTTGGCTCGTGTGGTTTAAGTTTTCAGGCACAGAGTACATTAGGACTGGCAATTAGGATTGTCACAAGGTTAGCACAGATATATCCTTAAGAATACTTTGTGTACTTTCTTTAGTCTCCAGAATGTATCCATTGTAACAAGACTAGTAAGTACCCTGAGAGTCTAGACTCCTTTCTCTTTCTCATCACTTCTGATTTGTGGGTTCACTTCTTCATCCTCCAAAACTCTTTATCCTCTATGTTTAACTTTTCAACTCCTATCCCTCTCTACCCCTAGTCTGTCTTCAATATGGCTACTTCTTCTCCTAACTTTGGCAATCCCCACCTGAGTAAAAATTTAATTCTTTTCCCCCTACAGTAAAAATCTAACCTCTCAGATTAAATCAGGAATTCCTAACTTTTTGGGTCATGGACACCTTTGTTAAGTCTGGTGAAGCCCTTCTTAGAATAATGTTTTAAAGAAAATAATAGGATTACAGAGGA